AGTACAAGTCAGAGTGTCTAGTGTTTGATGCAAATATCAGTGGCTTCCAGGCTGAATGAGTTCTGCATGGTAAGACATGATTGCTAAAATCTCAGCATGTTTCCTTTTGGGAAAGGAATAGCAATATTGCTAGTTTCTCCAACATCACCAGGGCTTTTCATTTTACAAAATCATCACTAAAAACCTTCACTCTGATCTATATCTTCATGGGAAAGTATGGGGAAATAAGAATGAATATTTCCATTAAATGTGTCTCTTTTAAAATAACAGTCCAGAAAATAAGCCATAAGAAAATGACTAAGAGGCTCTTGGATTCTTTACATGCTGACAGCAAAAAAAAAAGAATACACCATTACCTTGGCTCAAGTTTGAAGCAGGTAAGGCCATATTCATATATTTATTGATGTTTATCTACTGCTTAAACTTTCAGTGGCTCATCATGAAATGGAATCAGGCTCTATAATTTCTTGAATTTTAAAGTAGGTTACCTAACTTAGCTTTACCGTACTTTATTTGATATTTTCTATTATACATATATATAATATATAATATATATTATTTATATAATATATAGTATGTTATATAATAATATATATATTTTTCTAAAGTGGAAGAGAATTATAATAGCTATCTCAAAGATACTTGTGATGTGTGTGATATAACCCTCCTGGTGCCAGGAAGATTCTCAATAAGAATGAAGGCTGAGCTCCTTAATCTAATATTCAGAAACTTCAACCTTGGAGTCCAACCTAGCTTTCCAATCTTTTATCAGTTCCCCTCTCTCTTCTCTTCCCTATGTTTTAATCATACCAGATTTTTTAAATCATGCCTTACCATGCTATCAACAATTCTGTTTATTTATACCTGTGTTCCCTCTGCTTGAAATACTTTTACCTGCTGTTTTCTTACTCTCCAAGGCTCATCTAATCTGTCCCAATATTTCTTTCACTCCCTAAACAGATTAAGTATATTAATCAACCAACAAAATTAGTACTCCCTTCCATGTGTAATTAAATTTCATAGAAATTTATGATTGTCATAAATTTATGATTGTCAAATTAATACTCCCTTCCATGTATAATTAAATTCCATAGAAATTTAATTAGGGGGCCTCCCCGGTGGCGCAGAGGTTGAGCGCTGGGTTGCGAAGCTGCCCGCGGCCTCTGCAGCGCCAGTTCGATCCCCGGCTGCTCCCTGGCCACCGATGGAGGGTCCCGCATGGCGCGCAGACCTCTCCTGCCGCCCGCTGCTCCCTTCAGCAGGGTACTTCGGTCCTTCTGCCTGCTCTGCTCTCCACTCTGGCTCTGGTGGATTCTCTCACCCTCCCAGCTTCTGACTGTACCCAGTTCTTGTATAAATAAGTAAACAAATAAATCTTAAAAAAAAAAAAAAAAGAAATTTAATTAGGGCCCCGTCACTACTCTAACCACCTATCACAGTGAATCTACGTTTGATTCTGCCATAAAAGATGAGCTTCTTAAGGGCATAAATTACATCTTATTTATCTGGTATATCTGTAAGACCTGTCTCTTAAGATGTGCTCCATTAATGTTTTAATTTGTCAGTGATCAGTGGAAACCACCAATCTGTATTTGTTTGGAAACCACAGAGAGTGCTCACCCCACCTCAGAACTAAGAGAAATAAAATAAGATTGCCATTTAGAAACTAAATTCTATTTTCTATATAGATATGCAAAATCCCCTGAATAAGACAATGTGATCCCAGGCCAGCAGGACTCCACAGAAACCAACTTGACTTTACCAATGCATTTAAAAAAAGAATGAGTCATTTCACGAAGAAAGGATTAGCCTTAGTAAATTTAGAAAAAAAAGAGGGTCTCTGTGGCAAGACTCGATGATAGCCTTTCAAGCACTTCCCAAGACAGTGGCAATTGTATTTCTAGTGTTTGAGTAACAACTGTGAAGTTTTCCATAGACAGGCATAAATACATCATCTTATTTTAGCCCAATCCTATGAAGTATTCATGTCACCTAACTCCCTCTGTTAATCATTTATATTCACCTTATTGCTTTTTAAATTCTTATTCTTTCCCATTATAAACTTTATAACTGGTTCCTATTGTGATTTGGTTTTCCAAGTGGACCCACTGATGCTAGACTACAATGAGGAATCCATGAAGAAATATCTGCATATCACGTCCAGTGAGGCTGTCCCTTAGATGATATTTCTATACCACTGCCTTCTATAAGAAGGACCAAGGTCTCTATTTCATTGGTACTTAATGAGTTAATGGAAACTGAAAGGAAACTGTCCTACATCTGCTTAAGATGGTTTCTATCATGAACATAGCTGAAATTCTCACCATTGTTCTTCCTTCTAAAAGGCCTGTGAGTTAACTTGATTAAATAGTTTTAGGTTCTAGGAATGTTGGATACCTTAATTCATTAGTTTATGAGTCTGATTTCATTAAGTTTTTTGGTTGCAAGGAATGCAAGTGGCACTCAGGTGGGCTCAAGATAGGTGGATGTGTGGTGAGGATAAAGGTAGCATTTAAGAGAAGGCATGTCCTGGGAATTCAGGAGAGCCTGATGGGCAAGGTAGAGTCAAGTTTAAGTAAGAAAAGAAGAGGATTATCATTTTGTTATCAAGCATCTGGATCTCAATAATTTTCACTTTTTTGTTCTATCATTAATGGATTTTAGCATTTTCTCTTTCTTTTTATTTCTCTGTATGTTCCCTTCTTTTTTTTTTTTTTTTTTTTTTTTCTGATCACTTCTGACATCTATTTCCTAAAATATACAAATTCCCAGAAAGAGGAAGACAAATCAGTCCTCAAGTCACCACACTCTTGTTCAGACAGAGTCTTTATGCGTCTCCTTCCCTGAAGGAGCTGGCTAGCCTGTAGACCGACCCCTTGGTTCCAGTGTTCATTCTATACAATCACCTGTGGTGAAGCAGTCCATCTGAGTGACCAAACCTGATCACCTATGCCTCAGGCACACAGGAGGTCAAGCACGAAGCAGTCTACCTCAGAGGTACTATGGGTGGGCAAGAACCTGTGAGTTAATCAACCCATAAAGCCAGAGAACTTAAGTGTATCTGGATGGGCTATATCAGAATCTCCCTGGCCCCTTTGATAATACAGAACTCTGAATTTCACTCTAGATTTACTGAGTAAAAATCTCAAGGAGGAGTCAACAGCAGATTACATATACCATGGCAGTCCCGGTATCAGATAGCCTGGGCATACTGGAGCCATAGCAACTAGGTTTGTGCAGTTACTCTACAACACCATGATGCCGAATTCACCTAATAATGCCTTTCTCAGAATGTACTATCATTAAATATTTTTTACTGTAAAGGTAAGTATTTATATATTATGTTTATATATAAATATCACTTGTAATATAACGTGTAATATCCCCAAGTGATCATAGCTTTGAGAGGGAACAGAGCTAAGTGAAGGATCAGAATGGTCACTCTATAGATTAGGAATTCTTGATTCTTTAATAAATTTATAGAAGAATTCTAGTGGCTGTGTGACTAAAAATACATTTGAAATGTAGAAGTACAAAGGTGGAAATACCTTCCTCACAAGAAATAAAAATATAAAGACTATGCTTCGCTGTTTTCACTAGAATCTATACAAATGATCATCTGAGAGCAAAAACTAATGTTAAACTCCAACACCAGGAACTTTTGGCATGGCGTCATATACAGGTTAAGAGTTTGCATCATTGATTCCTTATTGATAGCAGGTGTATTTAGCAAAATATCTTAAGTAACATGTAAATTAACCTGACCAAAATGCTACCTGAATTATAAATAAAAGTTTCATCACATAATTTAAGAAAATTGTTCTTTGTTGGTTTTATTTTTTTTAATTTTTTTTATTTAACATTTTTAACTGAGGTAATATTGGGATAGCTGGATCAGGTTTTGTTACCGTGATGCTAATAAATTACATTGTAATGTTTCAAAGGAAGAGTTGTATTGCCTAATAACCAACATCATTATAAAAACAAGCACATTTCTCCTGGATGTTACTATCTTTATTACAAAACAAATATTTTATGTTGAGGTAACATTTCAATGTTATTTGACAAAAATCAATTAAGTTCTATACATAAAATTTTGCTTTGTGCAATATATGTGAAGACTCAAAGATGAGTTTTTCTAGTATTACACTGATTTTAGAAAAAATAAAGCTAAATTTATCTATTTAAAGAGGATTTCAATCCACTACCTTCTGTCACCCAATTTCCATATCATCTCTTGTGGTTAGTGAGGCAATGTTCATTGGAGTTCCAGAAAAAATAAGAATCAAAAAGGTAATTATTTTTCTTAAAGTTTGTTTATCCAGAACACCTCATTGTGCCATAATTTAAAAGTGCTTTCACAAATTAAATATTTAATCATATAGTTTTGCTTATACCAATAATAAATTTCTTTTGTCTACAACAGAGAAATGCTGTGCAATGATCCATTCCAGTGTCTTTGCTGTGAAGCCCCACCTGATTTTCCAAGACAAAGTTGGTACCCTCTTCGGTGTTCCCATAAGTTTTGTTTATACCTCTGTCATAGTGTTTGCCACAATGAATTGTAATAATCTTTGTTTCCCTCCTATGTATCCCTCTTTAGTTCTATCGTTTTATCTTCTCATAAGCTCCTCAGGAGCAAGAAAAAGAGTCTGAAGTTTCTTTACATCCTTAGCACCTAGCACAGTGCCTGGTATATAACAGAACCTCAATAACTGTTAGGTTAATGAGTTATGAACTATTTCAGCTGCAAAGCTATAATGCACATCCCTCTTTGCTTTCAGTGTCATTGAGTGTGTTCCATTGTTATTCCACATTATTTAAAACCTCTATAGTTAACGATACCCTCAAAACAAGTATAATGTCCATTATTTCCTTTCAGAAAGAAATGGCCTCTGGTTATCATTCTGATACAAAAACAATCAATAAATTACAGTTATAACGATTTCCCCCTCTCCAGCACCCAAGACTGTGTGGGCCACTTCTCAGGAAAGCTGATGCTAGTAGCCATCTTGGCAGTCATTGTCATCTTGATCCCCAATGGGTTTGTTGTGATAAGCATCAACTGTTAACTTTCTGCTTTCCCTCTCAGGGTTTTTAGACTGGCCACCTTCCTCGCTGCTTGATTTGCTCTCAGTCGAGTTGCTCTCGTCTTTTGACTTGCTGCTGTCCTGAGAATCACTGTCATCATCCTCCTCAGATTGGCTATTCTGCTCAGACTGACTTTCATCACTCTGGCTCTCTGTTGAGGTGCTTTGAGATTGGAGACCTTCCTGGCTAGAACTATTCTCCTCAGTGGACTCCGAGGTTTGCTCTGAGTCTCTGAGGCTCTCATCAGATTCACTGTCAGCTTGTTCCTCTCTGGATTCACTTTCTGAATCGGAGGGTTTGTTCATGCTGTCCTCTTCACTGGAGTCACTGACTTCCTGATCTGATTGGCTGGTGGTGTTATCTGGGTTATCACCCCTGGACTCACTCACCTCTTCCTGAGACTCACTGCTGTTTTCTTGGGATGGCAGATCAGCCTCTTCACTAGACTCACTGCTGGAGTTTTGGACATTTTCACTATCTTCCTGGGACTGGTTCTCCTCACTCTCTTGAGATTCACTGTCACTCTTCTCACCGGACCTACTGAGACCAGATTCTTCAGTGTCGGCGCTTTCTGTGGAGTGACTATTGACTTCTTCCATTGTATTGTTCTCATCAAGCTCACCTCTAATCTCTTCCGCAGAAATGCGAGACTTCCTGAAAAATTTCTTGCTGGAATGTTCCGTTGATTGGCTATCACCTGAATCTGGAGTGTTTGTTTGCTCAGCACTGTTCCCTTTTGATTCTTTTGAATTGGCACTGGCACTCTTCATTCTGGAGTTGCTTCTCTCATTTCTGCTTCCATTTGGATCATCACTCTGCATTCCTTCATCATCAAACTCAGAGCCATCCCCATGGCTACTGTCCCCCTCACTGCTGCCTCCCACCCAGTTCTCCTCACTCTTGCTCTCTTGTGTGGAGTCACCTCCCTGGGGCCTGATGTTCATCTCATCCTCACTGTCATGGTCCCTGCTCTCACTGGTGGTATCTGGGGTGCTATCCTCCCTGGATTGTGTGGTGTCGGCTGAGTCTTCATCACTTCCAAAATTGGAGTTTCCTCCTTGTCCCTCTTCAGATCCTAGACCATTGTCATCATCACCAAAGGTGTCATCTCCACTGTCATCTTCATCATCATCTTTATCATCTCTGCTCTTATAGAAGCCACCAGCTGATCTATACACATATTGATGATCATCAGGACCCTCCTCTGACTCGGCGCTGTTGCTGGGGTCTCCATCTGCCTGCAGTTTGGGTTTAACAGACACAGTCAGTACTCCAGGAGCTGATAAAGAGGGTGTTATCTAGTGCCCCACTAGGCCTTTCTGCTTTGTTCCTCCTGCGCTCACCCTCTAATCATTGTCAGCTTTTCTGTGCAATAACATCTCGACCAGAGGTTAGAAGAAAGGAAGAGGAAAACCTAGTCATTCCCTTTATACAAACACAATTCACTCAATCCTGCAAAAATTTTCACAAAAAAAAGTTATTGACATCATGCTTATGAAACTCAAATCCTATTGTAAGCACAATTCCATAAAGGAAACTCAGAGACTTTTTTGTGGATTAAAGAATTGGTTTGTAATGCTCACTCATCAATTTTTTTGGTTAATACAGAGTTAAGTATTGGGTGATTTTTAAATGACCCAAATGATGTTTTTTGTTTTTGTTTTATTTTTAATCAACTCTGAAGGGAAAAATGAAAGAGGAGAATGAAATCTTTAGCTAAAATTAAAAAATATGTATTGTAGGAAGTCATATATCTCACCCAAACCATGTTTATATCTCATTTACACAGAGTTAATCTCAGAAGACTCCAATTAATATGATTACCAAATAGAGTCACCATGAGAGCAGTTCTGCTCTGAGTGAATTCAGAGAGGTTATCCCCATAAGTGAAACAATGGGTAACACAGATTTAAAAAAAATAAAAGGATAGGGGGTCTTCATTCTTTATGCTCTAGGAAAATCCTCTATCTTTACATATATGTCAGAGCATACTTGCCAATCTTTTTCTTTTCCCGTATGTCCCTAGGATCAATGTCTGCGTTTCCAATCGGGAATACAGGGCAATGCCCCTGGAAGGTTCTTCACATCTTGGTAGGTATGTGTCCTACCCTTCAGGCAGGAACTGTTACCCTGATCTGAAGTTCAGGGAACACTGAGGCAATAAGTCACAAAGTCTCCAGAAAAGAGTATTGCCCTAATTATATGCTTATAAGTATCTAGAGTGTTTCTCTAAAAAACTTTTAGTAAAAAGGAATTAAAATCCTAGTAATTCATCTTGCAATCCTGGTTGACTATAGAATGTAATATTGGTCAAAGCTCCAGGGATAAACTTGATTCCTGCAACCTCAGGAGGGCCACAAATTTGGTAAAATGTCAGAACAACTAAGAAAGTAATCATACTTAGTCTTGGAAAAAAGGAAAAAAAAGTCTAATTTTTATTAAAGGGACCTACGCTAAGTCAACTCCTCTCACTCCGGGGCTACAGATGGGACTATTTCAAAGAGAAAGTCATTACTAAAGCAACTATTTCATTAATGCTCCTTGAAGATAGCCTGTTCTCTCCACCAACATGAGCCTTGACTTGGGGGAGGCTTCCAGGCCCAGCAGGCACTTTGTATTAACCAGGAGAATTGCAGTTGCCTGAGCTGAAATGCTCCAATTGTAAAAGCAACATATTGGATAGATGAATGAGTTCTTACTTGTCGAACATATTCAACAACTGTGTGTATGAGTGTGTGTGTGTGTGTGTGTGTGTGTATGTGTGTTTTTAACTAGGAGGGACATTTAGGGCCACAATGTCTATAATCTGGCCCCAGTGATAAATATGGAATGAACAGCATGTCCACATGATTCTCCCACTCATTTTTCCTTCTCTTTTTGTGGTTAGCTGCATAACCAATCATTAGAAAATATTATATTTAGAACAGTTGCCAGGTAATTTAGTCTAACATCACTTCCTTCAATTCCTAAATAGCCAGAAAAGTTATAAGAAGCCTGTTAATTACCTGTGTCTCTGAGTTAACTTTTCTTTCTTCAGATGACTCACTGCTTCCCTAAAAGGAAAAAAAAAAAGTTTATTTTTGCCTTTTGTAATTCCTGAGGAAAGAAAAAAATATCAACCATCAACGTATGATGCACACTAATTACTTATAATTTGAACTACTGCATCCAAATGGGTTAAGGTGATGGGAAAAGTAGTAAAGTTAATTCATAAGATGTTTATAACAAAAAATAATGAAATACTTACCAAAGGTGGTGTCGGTGTCTGAGTCAAATGACCCTGAAATAAAGGAAAGAAAACAAGTTACTCCTTCGCAGATGGATTATGTCATTACAAATATTTAAAATAATTGGGTAATTGCTTCAGTTTCTTGATATGTAATCATACTTAAATGATTTGTCATGAAGTTTTATGGTGAAATGACTGGAAAATGAATGTAAGAAGACTAGTGGGCTTGAAAAGTTCTTGTGATATAAAAGATGTGAGATTTTTGCATTTCTGAGATCTCACTTAGAGAAAAACAAAATTTTTTGAAGTTCATTGTTCAGACAGTAGTTAGAGGAACTATAATATAGGAAAAACTTCATTGGAATTCAAACTCTAGATGTAGTCCCAGTTAGCTCACTGGTTTTAGTTTTAACCCTAAAAACCAACAGTCTTGGTATTACCATTGAAATTCATTATGTCTTGGTTGGCCACTCTGTGAATTTGGGCATTTCACTACACCTGAATTCAGTTTGTTATTCATAAAATAAGAAAATGACTACCTATTGTGCTAACTCTTCAGGGTTGCTGTGAAGATACAAGCAGCAAGTACCTATGGGTGCTTTTTTTGTTTGTTTTATATTTTTTTATTAAATTTTTTACATCATTGTTCATTTTTAAACAATATCTGTTTCCCTTCACCCCCTCAAGTGTAGTCCCCATATAATTTCCTTCACCAATGCACCTATGGGTGCATTTTGTTAACTCTTCATTGTGGCATAAACTTAATAAATGATCCAGTGTGAGAATACTTTGTAAAATTCAGTAGTAGGCAAAATGGAATGGCAAAAACCATTAAGTCTTCTTTGAGTCTCATAAGATCACCCATATTAAAAGCAAATGCTAAATCTAAAATTTAGTAGCAGTCTTGATTTATTTCACTGTCTTTAATATTATGTGAGCTATCAATCCCTACTCTCCCCATTCCTTTGAGTGGTGTTTGGCTGAGTGTATCACTTCAGAGGAAAGATCTATAATGACTTTGTTTGCCATGTGACACTGACCTCCTAAACATGTCACCTTCCTGAGAGAGATTAAAGAATGTAGTAAAGAATGTGGATCCTGGAGTGAGTGGCCTGAGTTCAAAGCTGGACTCTAACAATCATTAACTGTAAAACCTACACAGCACACTGTGTCCCAGTGTTCTCATTTATAAAATAAGAATAAAATACAATACCCAATTCACTGAGTTGTGAAGATTGACAAAGCTAATTCATGTAAAACATGCAGAACCATGCCCGGCGATGGCATTTAATCCTTCATGGAAAGTCTTGGTTCATTGTCATCTAGCCCCTTGCACTATTATAAACATCCATTATGGAAAAACTACTTCCTCCTTAAATTATACTATTCAGTTAGAATTGAATCAAATGAATTAAAAACTATGACTCTGATTTTCTAAATATTTCCAAAAAGTCATTTCTACTCACCTTCCACTCTTCAGAGCTCTCAAATCCAGGATTTTGATACCTGACTACCTAGAAAATATAGTGCATATGGTCAACCCATAGGAAAATTTCCATGGCAAAGGCTATTAACACTTTGTATAACTAATAGTCAAATTTTAATATGCATTAGAATCTCCTGGAAACCTGGCACAGATTGCTGTGCCCCATCCTGAGACAGACCCAAGAATTTACATTTTTAGCAAAGTCCTACTGATGTTTATACTGCTAGTCTGAGGATGGCACTTTGAGAACCACTGCTTGTGAGGAACAAAAATGAAAATCATAGCTGTATAATGAATTACAAATATAAAGAAAAGAAATAAATCAAATGATATTTTAAAGATAACAACTTCCTAAGCAACTATTTGCTTTCACCTGACAGGAACATACCAAACCTCCTTGGCTCATACATAACGGAAATTGCAGAATTTTAGGTATATGAACTCATTTTTCAATATTCCCACCCCAATACTTACTGGGAGAGCACAGGACAACCCCCAAAAAAACACAAACAGGATGCTGATCTTCATAGCCAGGTGTGATGTCTCTACCTATAATGAAAAGCAGAGATGTTTTTTTCCATGCCTTAGAAATATAGGAGTGTCAACTTCTTACAGTTCTTCCCACTAAAAAAAAAAAAAAAAAATCTCATCTAACTATCCATGAGCTAATGAATGGAGAAATAAATGTCTTATACATAGCCAGACAATAAAATATTCAGCCATAAAAGGGAGTGGAGTGCTCATGCATGCTACAATGAAGAGGAATCTTGAAAGCATCATACCAAGTGAAAAAGGCCAGACACAAAAGACCACATTCTGTATGATTCTATTCATATGAAACATCTAAAATAGGCAAATCTACAGAGAGAGAAAGTAGATGGTTGGTTGCCTCAGATTAGAGGACATGGGGTCATCTTAGAATAATAGGTAAGGGTTGCATTTTGGGGTGATGAAAGTATTCTAAAAATTATCTTGGTGAGGCTTATACAACTCTGAATGAACTTAAACCTATTTGAAATATACACTGGAATGGGTAAAATGTATAATATATGAGTAGATCTCAATAAAGCTGTTTTAAAAGTAACCTCATTCCTAAGAGGTGAATTAAAAACCAAGTAGTACTATAGACACTTATCCACAACACAAAATATAAATGGAGGGAAAATTAAAGGAAGAGGACTAGAGGATTGATCATTCATTTTTTTAAGATTTATTTATTTATGCATACAAGAACTGGGGTACAGGCCAGAAGTGACGGGGGAATGAGCAAATTCACCAGAGACAGAGTGGGGAACTGAACAGGCAGATTGACTGAAATACACTGCTGAGGGGAGCAGCGGGCGAGTTAGGAAAGGTCTGCTAAGCCATGTGGGTAGCTCCCTGGCTGGGGATCGAACTCATGCTACAGTACCTGCAGATAGCTTCATGGGTTGCGTCTTAACCCTTTGCACCACCAGGGAGGCCCTGACCATTCATTTTACAATATTTATGCAACTCAGTGATAACATAGGAATTTGGTAAATATATCTTCCCTGCCCCCCCACCAAAGGAAATGACATTTTTTGACATCATTGATAGGTGCTGGATATTTATCTTCATGTGTGCCCATGCATGTGCACATAAACACACACAAACACACTCACACACATGGCTCCTCAGTCACATTTATAACATAATAATGTCTAGACAATGAGATTAGTTTGCATTTTTTTCTTGATCTGCAAGAAATGTACTATGGCAGACTTTAACATACAGCCCTACAAAGCTCTTAATATCTACAGTGTTCCATTTAGTCATACATTATACATGATTATGCCAAATTCTTTTAAATGTTACTCACAATCCTGAAGGGTATAGGGAAGATTATAGGTTTGGGATACACTTATCAATCATGCTGAGAGGAACATATCTAATCAAACTGTATTTTCCTGGAAGGGAGCTTCATTTCACACTTCAAGAACTGGTGATTTGGAAAACAGTTTGTCCTCTAGCCAAAAATAGATGTACTAAATACCAATGTAGAAAGTTATTGAAATGAATTCAAAGGAAAATAACTTGCCCTGAATTAGTAAGCCCTGTGACTGCCCTAGCAGCCTTATCAGATGGAAAAGACCACATACTGTATGATTTTGCAAAAAATGTAGCCATGCATTTTGCAAAAAATCTTTGCAAGTTTATTTCAGACTTCACTTGGGTTTATTTGTTTCTTCAACTATTAAGTATAAATTATAATTGTGGCAAGATCTAAATTAGGAAGTCTTAATCCTATCTCTATATTAGTAACATCTGGAGAGATTTAAAGCAATACCAATGCACAAGTCCCAGCACAAGCAGTTCACTGGGGTGGGAACAGGCCTGGTTTGGTATTTAAGGTACTCCAAGTGATTTTAACCTCTGATCTAAGAAATGAGAGTACAGAGCTCAAAGACTGAATATGCTGAATAATGTCTGAAATGTGGGACTCAAGAAGTGATACAATCTGGGCCTCCCTGGTGGCACAAGGGGTTAAGATGCAGCCTATGAAGCTATCCACAGCCTCTGCAGCACGAGTTCTATCCCTGGCCAGGGAGCTACCCACATAGTGCAGCAGACCTCTCCTGACTTGCCCACTGCTACCCTCAAGAGTGTATTTCAGTCGATGTGCCTGTTCTGTTCCCCACTCTGTCTCTGATGAATCCTCTCACCACCCCCACCTCTGGCCTGTACCCCAGTTCTTGTATGTATAAATAAATAAATCTTTAAAAATAAAAAGAAGTGATTGATCTTATTTTTAATTCATTCAGAAAAACAATTAAAATCCTAACATAAGGAAACTAAGGATGTTCCTTTTTTGACTTTTGTGCACCTCTCTCATCCTTGCCTTATATCAGGAGCACATCCCTCCTCAACAAAGTTATTTTCACTCTGCTATTTTCTTTATTCAGATTCATCATAGTTCCTATCAATCCTAGTGGTTTTTTATTATTATTATTATTATTATTTAAATTCCTTTCCTATTATCAGCAGAGAAAACATTAGAAAATGTTCAACTGCACTTAAGGCAAATCTAATTCAACAAATCTACTTCTGAAGGAAACCAAAATTCCATTCTAAAATATGCCTCTTTGACATAAAGTTTATTTTGAAGGTAGTTGAAAAACAGAAGATGCAAGAAAGATAGTCTTCTTTTTCTTCCTAAAAGCAGGAAAGAAAACTCCATGTGAAAATTGTCATCTCTGTATGGGGAGGAAGGAAGACAGTCCCATCCCCAAAGCCTGAGAGAAATCATCCTTGCTAGACTAGCACTCAGCTCTAGTCTCTTGGCCACTCTATGCAGCCCCAAGCCCAAATCCTTGGTCTTGTCAATTCTTTACAAATGTATTGTAGGCTTTCCACTGTGGCCACTTCATGTTCATTCTCTCAAGGAAGCTCCTGTGTCCATGCAAACATTTTAATAAAATATCTATGCTTTTCTCCTATTAACTGTCTTATGACTATTGAATTCTGAAGCCTATCAGGAGACGCTAAGAGGGTGAAGGAAAGTTTTCCCTCTCCTGCACTTCCTTTAGTTTCCACAATCAAAACATCTTTTAAAGCTCTTAGGTTTAGTTTTCTTTAAAGGACAGGAAACTGCCCCAAATATGATACTCTCAAATAACTCTCAAATAACTCTCAAAATAACTGTATGAGAATGTTTTGGTTTCACAGGTCAAATGAAAATTAGACAGCTCGTCATTTTCATTTTCAAAGTGAAATTTGAATAGAGTGATAATCTCATGATACTCTGAAAACTAGTAAGTATTCCAGCCTTGATTAAAAGCTAATGAATACTAAACTATTCCCTTGTATTTTCTTTTGCTTCATACTTATCTAAATAACAACAAAATAAGGGGAAACTACAATGAATAAGTGTGTGTGTGTATAAAGCAAATGAAGTGTGCGTTTTCAGTGTTCAAGCTTCTTAAGGATGGTATATTAAGATAAGCAAAATGAATATATGCAAGATTTACTAAGTTGCTCATGCTTCCAAAAACTCCATTTAGCACTGTGACCTGTAGTAATAATTTCCCAAATGAAAGTCTGGTAAAGTAAAATAAGATACCTTGAGGTCCAGCGTGAACTGACACTTTCTCCCAAAGAATATAGTCAGTCACAAAGCATCAAAAGAAAATCAGACTTTAATTCCTATATTAGGTTTCCATTAGTGTTTTTGATAAGAATAATCATACTTTTGTGAAGTCTATATCCGAATGAGAGCTCCAAACTTCTGCAACTTTTTAGCAAATACCCTAAAAAAAGAGTACAAGCAGATACACAGTAGCCATGTTCTGAGTGAAAAATGAGCACAATAGCAGCAAGCCTTAAAATACGAGTTCCAGAACTTCCAAGTTCTGCTTTGGTGATTGGTAAATGTTCTACATTATACTTGTCATTCTACAATGAGAGCATGTGAGAAAAGGAAATCTACAACCAAATCTGACTTCTACCTGTTTGGAAGGCAGTGTGTATATTAGAGACTTTGAACCTTTCTGAATTTTTTTCCTAGCATTGAAAAGATCAAAAATGTTTATTATCTGGAGAAGGAAATTGCAGTCCTTCACCCTCTGACTACCCTCAAGTATAGCCAGGAATTTGTGTGCTCAAGTAAGGAAACTCGTTCTGAAATGTACACAAAGTCAAGATTAACTTAAAGTATATATCTTCTTTTATGTAAATGGAAATGAAATAAGCTAAAAGAAGGAAATAGAAACTCAAAAATCATAGGCCCAATTTATACTACTTAATTTGCTTATTTTTGATTTAGTATTGCTATCCTCAACAATGCTAATGAAAGGCATAGCCACTCATTAGCAGTAAACAAATATTTATTGAGTACATCCAAAGTACCATGTGCTGTTTTAGGTGCTGTGTATACAGCAGTGAATAATAATAACTTGGTCTTACAAAAGTAGAATTAGCTAATCATAATCTTCATAATCTCCATTAGCTAGAATTTGATTATTATGACTCTTTGAAAATAAACTGGAGTTTGGCTAAGATATCAATTCTATCAGGAATTCAGAGAACTAAGCAAATAGATCAATTAAAGTTTCCAATTCTTCCAGTTGCAATTGTCTTGAGGTCAGTTATATAAAGTCACATGTCATGCCTTCAATTACAGTAAAATAACTCTGAGTTACCCCAAATTAAATATAGATTTGGAAGGCTTCCAAGAAACTGAGGCACATTGGTCCACAACACCACTTAGGGTAGTAAGTAAACTAATACCCATTATAAAATTATTGTTTTACATGTTTTTAATCAACAAAGTCAAAATAAGATATTTTGCTTGGTGCTGAATTAAACAGAAAGCTTGGTTCTCCAGAAGTTATTACTCCTAAAGAAGACAGGTTGCTAAAAGAATTATTGCACATGGATATTTCTAGTATTGCCTGACCACAGTTCCCACTCTGGGTTATGGAAGACAGGCACTAGCAATATAAATGAAGGAGTAGAACAAATGCATCAAATAAAAATGCATATGGCAGGAGTCTGTATACTAACTCTGCCACACTAAAAATTTCTTTAAAAGACAATTATATTCAACATTTATTGCATTCTGACTATATGGCATCATGCTAATATAAATATCCAGCTTAACAATATAATATCATAACAATTAATGTTTTATTTCAGTAGTTTAACGTCCTCTCTCAGTTACTCAGTTCATTATGATCAATATTGAGTGCCATTTACATGAATATTGTTAGATACTTTTTAGTTTAGAGATCATATTTTGAAAGACCTGTCAGTCTAGTTTAGATTATTTCACAATGTCTTATAGGCCATGTGAATCACTAACTCCATGAAACCAAAATGTAAAAATCTTATTTGCTTTGCTAATTGAAGCTCAGCTTCAAAATAACCTTCCATTTGAGTAACCTTCCATTTCCTCCTGTTGAGTAAACTTTTCCTTTCAAAAGTATTGTCCAGAGATCTAACTAAAGCATTACGAAGTAAAACACCTGACTCTGTTGACTTATGTCAACTTAATATAATTATTTACTTAATATCAAACAACAGGCACAAAAAATGGGAATCATTCTTACCCAAGGCAGTTTTCCCATCTTTCTCTACATGACCTAATGCCTCTCAACATGTATGCATATTTAATATTTTCCAAACAGCGCAGAAGTGATTTTTTAAAAAATAGACAATGAATATGTCTTACCCTCTTCAGTTGACCAAGACGTTCTCCCAGAAAGTCTCAAGAATCAGGCTGAAGTTCTCACAGAGGAAATCTATGCCTAATGAAACCGCTCTTGTGTTGATGTTCTGAAACCTTTTCTGATGGTGCAGGAATTTAAACTCTGCTTCAGCTCTTCCCAGCCAATCACTCGTGAGCTGGGGGTGACTGACATCACAAGGTGTCACCGGGACTCCAGTACACCCACACTTCCTCCAGTTTGCAGAGGCAGAATTTCTCTAAAAAGCTCTTGTGGTTCCCAAATGACTAGATTAGTTTCCATTAAATTGAAGATCTCCCGAAAGCTTTGTTTTGATTTCTAAATATATGTCATTCACATCCATGCAGGCTTATGAGCATCATAAACAATGACAATGTTTTCTACCACTGGCAGGTTCCAGCAGACAGAGGATGGGGAAAGAAACAAGAGGTGGGTGGGAAGTTCCTGGTTAATGTACATTTCCAGGTTGTACATGAAGAAAGTCACTTAAAATACTACATTTGCTTAAACTGTTGGTGTGGAGAAGATGGACTTTTGCTCCTTCCCTTTTCATTTTTTTAATAGCCTCTAGTTTCATATCCTTTTCCTGTCCATGCCCAGCCCCAATATATACACAGTTCCCAAATTCTTCCTAATCAGGTGAAATATCACTTGCAGAATCTTCTGGTGATTAAAAATGTTAAAGCAGGGGCCTCCCTGATGGTGCAGGGGTTAAAGACAGCACTGTCAAGCAACTGGCAGCCACTGTAGCATGAGTTCGATCCCCACCAGCCAGGGAGCTACCCACATGGCACAGCAGACCTCTCCTGTCTCGCCTGCTGCTCCCCTCAGTAGCGTATTTCAGTACATCTGCCTGCTCTGCTCCCCACTCTCTCTGGTGAATCCTCTCACCTCCCACACCTCTGGCCTCTACCCCAGTTCTTATATGCATAAATAAAATAAATCTTTGCAAAAAAAGAAAATGTTAAAGCACCTCCCTAAGTAACTTTTCTTTCTAATCAAAAACAATTTAAATCTAATACTTTATGATCCCCCAACTGCTTTCCATGTTTTGCTTTTAACTCTTGCGATTCTTTGAAATCAGAATTGGATTAAGACTAGTTGCATTGAGAGAAACCAATTTCCAAGGGACTCTCCTCCATCACTGAAAATGTAATGATGTGAATAAAATGGAATTTATCAGGACTCACTGCAGGTTGTTGTAGGGAGCTAGAAGTGGGGTTGGCCCCTCCCAGGAGGATATTCCATAACAATAGCATGACATTTAAACAAATATTTAAAGAATGTAGGTCACTGGAATTTCGGTTCCTCAAAAGTGGGAATGTTTGTATTGTTTGCCAGTGTATACAATGCCCTGATGCCTAGAACTGTTCCTGGATCACATAAGCACTCAACAGATACTTCAGGAATGACTGAATGAATTGACTTTAAAATAGGTTAAATTATTAGCTTGCCTGCAGTATCCACACAATTCACTTTGACTTTCTTGAAAGTATTATACTTGCTGGAAATTTTAGTTGATGCTCTTACCAACCTGTATCTAGATAACATTAAGTTGATATTCCAGCTTAATTCAGAAAATTAATATGAAATACATGAATTCTTATTCAAAATGAAATGAAATAAGATAGGGGGCAGAAAATGAGGGCAAAGGAGTCTATTATCATATGGGCTGATTAGAAGTCCGGGGCCTCCCCTGGTGGCGCAGCGGTTGAACGCTGGGCTGCGAAGCTGCCCGCAGCCTCTGCAGCACCGGTTCCATCCCCAGCCTCCGGCGAGTGTCCCACACGGCGCAACAGACCTCTCCTGCTGTGCCTGCTGCTCCCCTCAGCAGTGTATTTCATCACTCTGCCTGTTCTGTTCCCCGCTCTGGCTCTGATGAATTCTCTCACCCTCCCGCACTTCTGACTGTACCCAGTGCTTGCATAAATAAATAAATAAATAAATAAATAAATACATAAATAAATAAATAAATCTTTAAAAAAAAAGATAGAAAACCAAAGTCCGGATGGAAAGGTATAAATTCCCTGTGTCCTTCATTCTGGTTCTGAATCACTCTCCCTGGTGGTTTTGTAAATCTTGACTGAGGTCTGTTCTAGAAGAACCTTATAATCTTACGTCAGAACAGATTCTGGGAAGATTTTGGTAGTAGGCGTTTCAGGACATTGTTTTGAAACTCTCCAAACCCCACAGAAAAACAGAGTAACTAGATAACAAAACTGAAAACAATGGACAACATTGGCAACAAAACTATATGTTTTAGTTAGATGTCTTTTGCTGTGCTGATAACCACTCCAATACATTAAATGACTATTTTATTCCTTATACCTAGAGCTGCAGTCCTCCGGGACTCAGTTGGAATAGACCATCCAAGATAGCTCTCTCTCAGGGTTGTCTCATAGGTTGGAGTTATGATCCAGGTCACTTCATTTCTACTTTATGGGGTCTGCCCTTGTAGTTGGCGTTCTCATATGGTGCCTGTGGCCCAAAACTGCAGGAGCTAGAAGTGGGGTTGGCACCCCTCAAGGTTGGTCAACTCAGCCACGGGGATATACCAGATTCAGGAGAAAAAAAGTCTCTACTGTTTCATGTGAGGAACAGAACGAATGTATAGGGAGCAGCAAAAACATTGAGGTCACTTCGGATACTGGTTACCCACTACATGGCAAATTATACCTACAAACTGACTGAGGACATCCACCCACTGCCATGAGACCTATATTATCTACGCAGAAATAAGCAAAAAGAAACAACGGGGCATCTAATGGACATGAGAATAGGAGTACTCCAAAACAGTCTTTTATTATTGCTGGCAGGTGCCGATGGCTTATAAAATCTGAGGGATCTGAAGCAGGCTGGCCCCTATGAATTCTCAAAACAACCACCACAGCTGTCTTCCCATATAGAAGAGACACTCCTGGGAAAGGGAAAAAGTTGTACCAAATAGATGAAATTGAAAAAGCATAAATAACTGTGGGGATGGAGTATAGACCCTGGAAATCTTAGAAAGCAAGCTGCTATATTTTGTTTAATAAATATGAAAACATTGGAGAAGTTCTGTAGAAGCTACCCTGAGCCAAGTCTCCCAAAAATCCAGGAAAACCAATTTCATAGAAAAGGAACAAAAATCTATGAAGTTCAAATCCCATAAAACCAAAAGAAAATAACTTTATAGACAAGGAAAGTACGTTGAGAATACATCAAAACTATACCCTCTGTTTTAAAAAGATATTAAAATAACACCATCAATTTAAAAAAAAGCAAAGACTAAAATAACTTTAAAAAAGTTCTCAATCAGAAATCAAGAAAAGCTTTGAAATAAAAGAAAAAAAATATTTTGTAAATGAAAGGCTAAATAGAAGGAACACAGGAGGTAGTAAATAAACCAGAAAATATTGTGTAGAAACACAAAAATATTGTGTAGATGGTAATATAAATTGAAAATGGGCAAAAGGTTTCAAAAAGTACAGATAATAAGAACTTTAGAAAGATAACAAAATTTTAAAAGAAATAGCAAAATTGATGAAACAGCCAAAATACTGAATAAAGTGTAACTTTTGTAATCCAAGGAAATTTATCTCAGTTAAAAAGGAAAAAAAAATTGATTTAAAACTTAAAGAGAACCTCACATACCTGAGACTATCATCCCAGAATGGCCAACACCAAGATATATTCTCTTAAAATTGCTGGACTTTAAAGATGAAGCAGAGGGCCTCCCCTGGTAGCACAGCAGTTGACTGCTGGGCTACGAAGCTGCCTGCAACCTCTGCAGCACTGGTTCAATCCCCAGCCGCCAGTGAGGGTCCCACATGGCGTGACAGACCACTCCTGCTGTGCCTGCTGCTCCCCTCAGCAGTGTATTATGTCAGTCTCCCTGTTCTATTCCCCGCTCTGTCTCTGGTGAATTCTCTCACCCTCCCATGCTTCTGACTGTACCCAGTGCTTGTATAAATAAATAAATAAATCTTTTTTAAAAATTTAAAAAAAGATGAAGCAGAAAAACATCCTTTGGACTTTTAAGCAAAAGCAGCAAATAACTTGTCAGGAAAAGAAAAGTAGGTTATCACAAGACTTTGGACAGCAATGTTTTATGCCAGAAATAAATGAATAAATAAACATACTTAAGAGATTCAAGACAAGAAAATGTGACCAAGGATTTTATAGTCAGCAAAACTTATTTTCAAGAATGAAGGAACCAAATAACCTGTAACCAACAGTCAAGAAATCAGAAAATATTGCTTCATTGACCCTCTTTGAAAAATCTACTAGAGAATGAACTCTGGATACCAAAATGACTAGCCATTGTCATAAGAGAGGGTGGTAAACATTAAACATAGAATTAATTTTAAAGAGAAAGTTAAGTGAGAATAGACGGGAAAGCCAGTATATAATAGTGATGTACTTAACATAGAATATTGTACAACTTTTTAAATATGCAATAAAATCAAGTTCTCTCAATATTATATTAATGATATAATATTATTATGAAAATGTTTGTGTAATATGGGATAAATTGGTAATTATAAATTATTCTACTTCTTTCAGCCATTGTGTCCTTGACAATCAGATTCTCATTGTGAAAGAGATAAAATTTGATACAAACAAGTAAAATTAAGAAATCCTATAATCCTAAATACAAGTGAAAGGAATTAGAATTCACTCAAGAACTTTTTAAACACACACACACACACACACACACACCCTACATCTTTATTTTAGCAATGACACAGTAGTTAGTGCCTGTAGTACCCAGATTGCAATCTATCTCCCAAAACCTTTAGAAAGTTAAAGATTCAAGGTCTGTGGCAAGAAATGTACAAGATTGTGACAGGGTGGAGCCCAGGAAAAAGGGAAGTTCCAGGTACCTTGCCCCACCCAAAGGAGGGTGGAGCTGAGCAGGGAGGAGAAGCTGGAGAGGAGACTGGAAGATGGGAGGAAGCAAGATGGAGAGCCAGAAGGAGACCTGTAGGAGGCACATGGAGTAGAGAGACAT